CAGCAGCAGCAGCAGCAGCAGCAGCAGCAGCTGCTGCAGAAGCAGAAGCAGAAGCAGCAGCAGCCGCGACGGCAAAAGGGGAGAAGGACGGGCTCATGCAGATCACCGCAAGTGCCTTGCCTTTGCTACTGCTGATGCTGCACCCGACAGTTGCAGCAGCAGCAGCAGAACGCGCAGCAGCAGCAGCGACGAGAGCTCACCGAGAAGCAGCTGCTGCCGCACCGGCAGCAGCAGCAGCACAAAAGGCAAATCTTCCTGTTCCCCCGCATGCAAAGTATCGGATGGCAAGAGCCACGGTGATTCCACGACCAGCAACAGCAGCAGCAGCAGCAGCAGCAGCAGCAGCGGCAGGTTCTGTGCGTCTTGCAGGTGCAGCTGCGCGTCGGACCCTCCTTCTTGCTCGTTTGCTGCTGCAGTTACCGTCCGTTGCTTCTCTTTGTCTTTCTACGGCTCCGCTGCTGCAGCGCGAGAAGCAGCACTTCGTTACTTGGTGCAGCAGCAGGGCTCCATTAGCTTCGTTGTTAAGCAGCAGCAGCAAGAGCTGCAGCGGCTGCTGCAGCCGTCGCCTATCAGTTATGAAGAGCACATCGCACTGCAGCAGGAACAACAGCAACAGCAACAGCAGCAACAACAGCAGCTGCTGCAGCAGCAAATGCTCAAAAAGTCAGATACGTACGTGTTGCGGTTGCAGCAGCAGCAGCCACAGGACGTGCTGCTGCAGCACAGACCGCCCCTCCGTGGAGCAGAGAGGAATCCGCCTTTGCTGCGGTCGCGTAGGTCCCTGCTCCAGCAGCAGCAGCAGCAGCAGCAGCAGGAGCGGCCTGACAGGCCCAAGAGGCAACTGCCCCCACGCCTGCGAGACCCGGAATCCCAGGGCGTCATCCCTGCTGCAGAGAGCAGCAGCAGGAGCTGCACCTCTACGCCAGCATCAGCATCATCAGCAGCAGCAGCTAGCTTAGTAGACAGCGTAGATTCGGCAGGGCCAGCATCCCCGATGCCGGCAGCCGCAGCAGCAACTTCGCCAAATGCTGCTCTCACCAACAGCAGCAGCAGCAGCAGCAGCAGCAGCAAAGCTCACCGGACGCCTGTGTCTCGCCCGCTGAAGCTGTGTGGAGTGGTGCCGCGGCTGGAGCAGCTTCCGGGTTGTGAAGGTGAAGAGGGAGCAGCAGCAGCAGCAGTGGCAGCAGCAGCAGCAGCCGGAGGCTACCGCGTCGGGGACTTCTTGCAGGGGCTGCTGGCCTGTCCTTCAGGCAGCGGCTCGAAGCAGCAGCAGCAGCAGCTGCTGCGCAGCAGCAGGAAGCGAAAGACAGCGCCAACTGCTGCTGCTGATGGCTCTTGCAGTTCTTGGGGGGGCGGCCCTCGAAGCTACTCCAGAAGCAGCAGCAGCAGCAGCAGCAGCAGCAGCGGCTGCGTGTTCAGCAGCATGAGTCGCGTGCTAGCTGAGAAGGAGGTGACGCGCGAGGGCCGCCTGCTGCTGCGCAATGCGCTGGTCTCGGGGGCCCTGGTGCCTGCTGGGGAGGAGTTTGCGGTGTCTTCGCTGGACGATGTAGAGGCCCTACCAGCAGCAGACCCATTCGTAAGCCCGCATGCTGCTACTGCTGCTGCTGCTGTTGTACCTGCTGCTGCTGCTGCCAAGGCTCTTATGCTGCTGCCGCTGCTGTTGCTGTTGCTGTTGTGTCTGCTGCTGCTGGTATTGTACCTGCTGCTGTTCTTGTGCCGGTCGTCGCTGCACTTTCCTGCGGTGGCCTGAAGTTCTGAGGGAGGCTGGTACTAATGTCTCTGCTGCTGCTGCTGTTGCTGTTGCTGTTGCTGCGCTGCAGTCTTCTAGCTGGTACTTGATGCAGGTGTTCTTACAGACGCACAAACTGCAGCGAAGTCAGCTGATGGATGTGGGCACAACGCGGCAGCTGCTGGCGGCGAGGCGGTTTGTGTATCTGTTGTCTCCTTATGCGGAATCAAGGACATTTGCTGCTGCAGCAGGCGCAGGAGCCGCTGCTGCTGCTGCTGCTGCTGCAGCTGCCAGGCCCCCACCCACGCCGCCAACAACCAGGCAGCAGCTTGCCAACGCTGCCAGCAGCGGCAGCAGCAGCAACAGTAGCAGCAGCAGCAGCAAGGCACTGCATGGAACTGGCGTTGTCTCCCCCAAGTTAGAGGGAATGCGCGTTGGGGGGAACAGCAGCAACAGCACCAGCAGCAGCAGCAGCAGCAGCAGCAGCAGCAGCAAAGCAGACTCGCAGCAGCAGCTGCAGCAGCTTGCGTCGCAGCAGCAACTATCTCTGGCTGCCCAACAGCAGCAACTGGCGTCCGCCCAGCAGCAGCAGATGGTTCTTCAGTACCTAATTCGCAAGCGGCAGGAGCAGCAGCAGCCACAGCAGCAGCAGCAACAGCAGCAGCAGCTGCAGCACGTCGCCGCAACTGCAACCGCGACAGACACCCAAGCTGTTGGGACCGCCCTAGGTAAGGATTCCGTTTGCCTTCAACTCAGGGGCAGCGTGGCTGGCTCCGTAGCTAGCCAGCTATTCAGCTAGCTCTTTCGGTGGCTAGCTAGCTATCAAGGTGGTCAGCTAGCTAGCTGGGTAGTCAGTCTACTTAGTGTGTTCCTGTTTTGTTGCTGCGTGCTGCAGGTGGAGCAGAGCCGCAGCTGCACCCGCAGCTGCTGCACCAGCAGCGGATGAAGCAGTGGCAGCAGTTGTGGCAGCAGCAGCTGCTGCAACGGCTGCAGCAGCAGCAAACGGCCCCGCAAGGCGTCACGCCAGCTGCAGCGCAGCATTCCCTGTTGCAGCAGCAACAGCCTCAAGGGGTTGCTGCCCTTTGGCTGCAGCGCCCTCAGTGGCGCCTCCCCTTCTGGACTTTGCTGCCACAGCAGCAGCAGCAGCAGCAGCANCAGCAGCAGCAGCAGCAGCAGCAACAGCAGCCTAACCAGCAGCAACTGCGACAGCATCAGAACGGACCAGCTATAGCAGCAGCGGCTCCACCAGTAGACGAAGCAAAACAACATTCAAACGCTGCTGCTGCTGCAGGAAAGCCCACAGCTGCAGCAGCTACCTTCGATGCCACTGCTGCTTCTGCTGCAAGGGTCTCTGCTCCGAGAGGAAAAGGCGAAGAGCCCTGCAGTCGCAGCACCAGCAGCAGCAGTAGCGCCGGAGACACGGGCAGCAGTAGCAGGAGCAGCAGCAGCAGTGGGAGCAACACCAGCAGCAGTAGCAGCAGCAGTTCCAGCGGGTGCAGCAGCAGCAGCAGCAGCAGCAGCAGCGGGACGTGTCGCACAAGTTTGCTGCCGCCGGGATACGGCGAGCTGCCACAGCTGGAAGCCTTAGTTGACGCTGCCGTGCTGCTGAGCAGACACTTCAAACCCAACCCCGAACCCCACTCAGGTAAACGAACTGCAGCAGCAGCAGCACCAGCAGCAGCAGCAGCAGCAGCAGCAGCAGCACTTGCGTTACACGGTCTTACGCGTCTTGTCTGCATGCCCATTCCCACAAGAAGCACTTCCTAGACACCCTGTAGCCTGTGTTGATGCATATGCTGGAGTGTGTGTGTGTGTGCTGCGGCTGCTGCCGCTGCTGCTGCTGCTGCTGCAGAAGCGGGGGCGCGCCTCGACAGCCGGCGGCCGCTGCACTGCGTGTGGCTCGACGAGCGGAGACAGCCGCAGTGGCGCTGCCGGTGGACGGCCTCGGCGGGGCGCCGCTTCAGTCGGACCTTCTCTGTCAACCTTTTCGGCTGTATGCTGCTGTTGATGCTGTTGCTCTTGTTGCTGCTGCTCCTGGTGTTGCTGCTGCTTCGCCTGCGGCTGCTGCTGCTCCTGGTTTTGCTGCTGCGTCTCCTGCGGCTGCTGCTGCTCCTTCTAGTGATGGTGATCGTGGGACTGCTGCATGAGTTCCTGTTGCTGGTGGAGTGCGGCCGGCGTGTTAGTACGCCGTGGCGTTGCTGCTGCTGCTGCTGCTGCTGCTGAAGGTTTGCTGCTGCGTTTGCTGCTGCGTTTGCTGCTGCGCTGCAGATGAGTCGGCGAAGCGTTTGGCTGTTTGGTCAAAACTCCTTGTCTCCACACCTCACCAGCGACGGGCTTGTCTTCAGGTATGCTGCTGCTGCTGATGTGGTTGTTACGGCTGCTTCTGCAATTGTTGCTGCTGCTGTGGTGGTGGTTGTGCTGCTGCTGCTGTGTTTTGGCGGTTGTGCTGCTGCTGCTGGTACAGGTTCGTTGTTTGTGTGCTATTGTTGCTGCTCTTGCTGGGGACTTGCTTGCAGCCCTAGCCCTGCGTGTCTTCTTTGTTAATTGCTGCTGCTTCTTGTGGAACCGTTGCTATTGCTGTTGCTGCTGCTGCTGCTGCTGCTGCGCAGGAGCTGTGGGATTCGGTGCAGCAGCAAGTGCGGCATCCGCTGCCGCACCAGGTGGCGGCGCTGCTGAAGCACGGGAAGGTAAAGCCGGAGGTCTGCTGCTTCGAGCTGAGGCCCCCCGCGCTGCTGCGGCATCAGCAGCAGCTGCTGCTGCCTCATAATTTTTCTAATTCAAAAGCGCAGGACCAACAGCAGCAGCAACAGCAGCAACAACAACAGCAAAAAGTCCAGCAGCAGCAGCAGCAGGAACAGCCGCACGACTCACAGACTCCCACAACGTCCTCTCCTGTCATTGGTCCCTCCAGCAGCAGAGAGCGCCGACAGCAGCAGCTGCAGGATAAGCAGCAACAGCAACAGCAGCAGCAACACGGAGAAGCTGTAGTAGCTTCGCCGCGACTTGATAAAGAACGGCGTGCTGCTGTTGCTACTGCTAATGCGGCTCCCGTTGTTGCTGATGCTGCTGCTGCTGGGGGCTCTGCCGAGGCTGGGCCTCCAAGTAGTGCTCAGCAGCGTCGCGCTGCTGCCGCTGCTGCTGCTGCTGCTGCTGTGACTTCAGCCACAGCAGCAAGCGGCAGAGAGGACAAATTGCCATCAGATGGGAACGGTCGCCTCCGAAGTACAGCAGCCGCACCAGCAGCACCAGAAGCAGCAGCAGCAACAACACCAGCAGCAGCAGCGGAACCAGCAGCAGAACCAGCAGAAGCAGCAGCAGCAGCGAGAGAAGCACCAGCAGCAATTCCTGCGGTGCGACGGAGGGGACTGCGGCAACGCGCAGCAGACAAAGAAGAATCAGCAGCAAAAGTTGAGAGTGGTGCGTCAACAGTTGCATCCACAGTTGCTGCTGCTTGCACAAGCCCTGCTGCTGCAGCTGCTGCAGCAGCAGCTGCTGCTGCCGGGCCCTGCACTGCTGCAGCAAACCTGGCAGGGACTTCGCCTGTAGCAGCTGGCGCAGCCAATCCCAGCAACAGCAGCCGCAGCAGCATCGGAGGCGGACGGTCAGGTGCAGCAACAACCAGAGCAGCAGCAGCTGCTGCTGGCGCTGCCACTGGTGGAGGGCCGCCAGCCTCTGCAGCTCCAGTAGAGAGCAGCAGCACCAGCAACAACAGCACCAGCAACGCCAGCAGCAGCAGCAACAGCAGCAACAGCAGCAGCAACAGCAGCAGCAGCAGCAACAGCAGCAGCAGCAACAGCNCAGCAGCAGCAACAGCAGCAACAGCAGCAGCAACAGCAGCAGCAGCAGCAACAGCAGCAGCAGCAACAGCAGCAACAGCAGCAGCAGCAACAACAGCAGCAGCAGCAACAACAGCAACAGCAGCAGCAGCAGCAACAGCAGTAGCAGCAACAGCGGCAACAGCTCTTTAAAGAGGAAGCCGCTTCACACGGAAGGAAATGATACAGCATCTGCTGCTGCTGCTGCGGTTGCTGCTGCCTCCCCTCGGGTTTGTACAGAGACAGAGACAGGAAGGCTGAGGGGTACGATGCTGCTCCGATGCCGCAACGCACGACAGCAGCAGCAACAACAGCAGCAGCAACAACAGCAGCAGCAGCAGCAGCAACAACAACAGCAGCAGCAACAGCAAAAGGAGCAGCTACAGCAGACTGTGAAGCGCCGCCATGTTGACTCGGGCCTAGGCGAATCGAACAGCGACGCAGAAGAGCCTAGCAGTGCTGCTGCTGCACGGCGCCGCACTTGCAACGGCAGCAGCAGCAACAGCAGCAGTAACAGCAGCAGCAACAGCAGCAGTAACAGCAGCAGCAACAGCAGCAGCAGCAGCAGCAACAGCACAAATAATAATAGTGCTAGTCGCAAGTCAGTGTGCCGTCGGGTTGCTGCAGGGACCGAGAGCACCCGTTCGCTGCAGGGTGAGGACTCTCCTAGCGAGCGAGAAGCAGTACCTGCTGCTGCTGCTGCTGCTGCTGCTGCTGCTACTGCTGCTGTTGCCCCTGGAGACAGCAACGGCCGCAGCGGCGACAATGCACACAGTAGCAACAGCAGCAGCAGCAGCAACAACAGCAGCAGCAGCAACAGCAGCAGCAGCAACAGCAGCAGCAGCAACAGCAGTACCTCATCCCCGCGGGAAGTGCGACGGGGGCGCCGAAAGACCGTTGTTACTGCTGCTGCTAGCAGCAGCAACAGCAGCAGCAACAGCAGCAGCAGCAGCAGCAGCCTGCCTTCAGTCTCTGCTACGCACGAAGCCTCCAGCGGTACGCCACGGGCTGCAGCATCCACAGCGTACATGTCGCTGAGGCCTAGGGCAGCAGCAGCAGCAGCGGCAGCACCGACCGCAACACCAGCAGAAGCAACAGCAGCAGCAGCAGCAGGAAGCAGCGCTAGCAACAGCACCACACCTCAGCAGCAGCAACTGCAGCAGCAGCGGGCGGCGAGCAAAAGAAATGGCACGTCAGAAGACGCCGAAAGCACGCCACCGCTTCCGGCTGCTGCAGCGCCAGCAGCACCAGCAGCAACAGCTGCACCAGCTGCAGCAACAGCAGCAGCACCAGCCGTTCAAAGGCCCCGGCAAAGCAGTGCGAACTTTAACAAAAACAGCAGCAGCAGCAGCAGCAACAACAACAACAACAACAGCAGCAGCAGCAAAAGCAGCATTCAGCAACGCCCCATACTTCGTTCCCTGCGATCTATGGCTACGCGAGCATCGGCAGCAGCGGCCCTTCAGGCCTCTCCTCGCCGAGTGTCTGCTGCTGCTGCTGCTGCTGCTGCAGCAACAGCAGCAGCGCATGCATGTGCACTGGAGTAGGTGGGCCGTGGTGCGTGCGCATCAGGAGCTGGCTCTCGGCAGCAGCAGGCAGGCAGTTGCCTCATGCTGCAGCAGAGTATAAGTGCTGCAGGCCAGGCTCCAAACAGTGGAGCAGCAGCAGTAGCGGCAGCAGCAGCAGCAAGTGAAACGGATATTGCTGCTGCTGCTGCTGCTGCTGCTTTGCAGCAAGATTGTTGCAGAGGGGGAGCAAGAGTTCGGCATCCTCCTGTCTGTAGTCTCTTCTTTCGCTTGAGACCTGTTTTGTTGTCTTAATAGACATATTCACCGCCTCTGTTGCTCTCACTGCTGCTGCTGTTGCTCTGGCTGCTGCTGCTGCTGCTGCTGCTGCTGCAGTCACCGCTTCTGCTTTTGTTGCTGTTGCTCTAACTGCTACTGCTGCTGCTGCTGCTGCTGCTGGGGGTGTGTTGACTGTTCCGGTGCGGCTGAGGCGTCGCGTACGGATGCAACGATTACTTTTGCTTTCGGTTTTAGTGCTGCTGCTGNTGCTGCTGCTGTTGGGCTTTTTCAAGATGGTGACGGCGACACGCGCAGCACCCTCACTAGTCTCGGGTTTAGTGTTTAGGGTTTAGGGTTTACGGCAGAGGAGATATTCTTTAGTATCAGTAGCAGCTCAGCAGCAAAGCAGCAGCATAGCAGCAGCGGGAGCAGCAGCAGCAGCAGCAGCAGGCAGTGCTTGAAAGCAACTGCAGGAGTTCTTGCATCTGCCCCTGACGCTGCTGCTCCTAACTAAAGTAAAAATAGATAAAGCCTGGGCCTCTGTACAGTGCTGCTGCTGCCGTAGCAGTGTATGCAGCATCTGCCGCTGCTGTTGCTACTGCTGTTGCGACTGCTGCTACTTCTGCTGTTGCTGCTGCTGCTGTGACGGCCGCTACGTCTGCTGGTGCTGTTGCTACTGCTGCGTATGCTGCTGCTGCTGCTGCTGCTGCTGCTGTAGACTGCCGCTGCTGCCTTGCTTTCGATGCACTGTATTTCAGCATTTCATGTGGCTTTTGTTTTTCTTAGAAGAGTAACAACAAACACCAATAAAGAAAATGCCTACAAATCGCTACCTAGGCAGCTGCAGCAGCAGAAGTGCAGCGCCGGCGCTGTCTACTACTGCGCCCAATGCTGCTGCTGCTGCTGCTGCTGCTGCTGCTGTTGCTGCTGCAGAGTCAAGAGGAATAAATACGATAAAGGGGAATCAGAAGCACCAAGTGCTGCTGATCCCTGCAGCTGTTACAGCTCGCTGCTGCTGCTATTGCTGCTGCAGCAGCTGCTGCTTAGTGCTGCTGCCCCAGCTGCTGCTGCAGCTGCCGATGCTGCAGTCCATGCAGCTAATAAACAACCGACGCAGCCTGAAGGACCTGCCAGAAACTTGTGTAGCTGCAGC